GGGGAGATGGCCTTGCCACCATCTGTTCTCCTTCATTCTCTTCTTGGGATTTTGGGAATGCCCTGGCATGAGTTTTCAGCTGCCGGTCTAGGATTCAGACTGTGGTCGACAACCTTGGAGACCAGCAATGTAACCATTATGCCATTCGCTGGTCCCCAGATTTTGTGTTTTTATTTAGGCTTTTTCAATCTCTGAGAAGCTGACTTTATGTGAGAAAAGAGAAGCGACTTGCAGAAGGATTGGCTGTCATGTTGAGGAGAGATGCCAGCTCACTGACAAGCTTAGTGCTACTCAAAAGGAACTTGCAGGGCGTGAGCTGGCTGCAGGGAGTGCTGCTGTAGGATGGGGGACTTGAACTGCAGGCTGTGAAATCCTAGGTTCTTTCGGTTCAGATCTCTAAGAGGCCTGTTCTGAGATGCAGAATGAAAAACCACAAACACATGTAAAATAGGAAAAGAAAAGTTTTAATAGAAAAGATTTCTAATAGCAGATACACTCCCGTTCCTGAAAGGCACGTGGATAGGCATACCACATCACCCCCTGTGTGTCTTGTGTTTGTCTGTTACTGAATTGTAGCCTTTCTAATAAATCAGAAATGTAAGTGAAGTGTTTTTCTGAGTTCCGTGAGCCACTCTATCAAATGATCAAACTCAAAGAGGAGATTTTGGAGCCCTTAATTTATACTGCTAGAAGTATTAGAAGCCTGGTACTTACAGTTGGCACCAGAAGCGGGGGCAGTCAGCAGATCTCAGAAGAGCTTGATCGGGATACTCTCCCACACCTTGCTACCTGGCCTTTAGCACCTGCTTTGTTCAGTGCAGTCCTGGTTGTGGAGCCTCAGTGGAGTCATAGCAGCCACTGGAGCCACCTGGAAAGAAGAGACTCTACAAGGCTTGCACTGGCCATGCTGAAGAATAAAGGTAAAGGAATAAAAATTAGACGCAGAGATCAGAATGAAAGTGGATCTGAAAAAAAGGTGTTCTAAGGGAACCAGCAGTTAGCGTAATGGCTATGTCGCTGGACTCCCACGTAGTCGACCGCGGTTCGTGTCCCGGACCCAGTGGCTTAAAACTCACGCCGGGCGCGTGTGCGTGCGTGCCCAAGATCCCGAGAGGAGAATGGAGGAGAAGGGATTGCGGCGTGACCATCCCCCCTGGGGGGTGATTTCTCGCTTTCTGTCTCTATGTCTCTCTCTGTCTGTCTGGCGAGCGCACGCGCCCTACAGTGAAAATCTCTCAAAAAAAAATTAAAAAAAAAAGGTGTTCTAAGAGGATGGAGAAGAATATACTCAGATAATGAAAATGTTGGGAGACGGACGATTGGAAGCCACGTGCTCTGATGGTGTAAAAAGCTTATGTCACATCAGAGGGAAGTTGAGAAAAAGGATTAGGATAAATACCTCAGACATGACATTGGTTGGTCTTCGACCACAGGATAACAAAGCTTACATAATTTTAAAATGCAGTGCGATGAAGCCAGACATCTGAAGACACATGGTGAGCTTCCTGAGTATGCTGAAATCAATGAAGCTGACACATGTGGTCCTGGAGGTGATGATAAAACTTCAGTTTAATGACACTGGAGATGTGGTTGAAGACATTGATGATAACAAAATACAACTCAAGATTTTTTTAGAGAGATTTTTGCTATAGGGCACATATGGTCATCAGAGAGACAGACACAAAGTGAGAAATCACCCCCCGGGGGGGATGGCCACACAGCAATCCCTTTTTCTCCGTTCTCCTCTTGGGATTTTGGGCATGCGCACATATGCACCCAGTGTGAGTTTTAAGCTACTGGGTTCAGGACTCAAACCATGGTCGACTATGTGGGAGTCCAATGACATAATCTTTACACTACCTACTGGTCCCTAACTCAAGAGTTTACATTCCAATTTTCTGAAATTATCCTGCAGTTTGGATTTTGGCCATGACCCTTACAAGATGAATATTTCATTAGCGTGAATGCAATTTGTTAAAGCAGACTGTGAGGTATTTTTGTTTCTCTAAAAACTGATAATGCTGGTTTTTTGGGTGGAACTACCATCTTCCAGTAATTCACTAACTGACTTACACTATAACCCTGTTCTCTCCTTCATAGATTTCACCGTTAGAAGGTTTTTGTTTTGGTTTTTTAAGAGAGAGATTTTTGCTATAGGGCATGTGGGCTTGCTGGAGAGACAGAAAGTGAGAAATCATCCCCCCAACCCCGGGGGCGGGGATGGCCATGCCGCAATCCTCTCTCCTCCATTCTCCTCCTGGGATTTTGGGCATGTATGTACATACACGTGCCCAGCGTGAGTTTGAAGCTTCTGGGTCTGGGACTTGAACTGTGGTTGACTACATGGGAGTCCAATGATGACGCATCAATTACACCATCTGCTGGTCCCTAGAAGGTTGACTTTTAATCAGCCTGTGTGCTTTTTCAGCTTTTTTAATAAAATGGTATCTGTTTTGGCTCTTTGGAGAGGTTTTAAACAACATGAAGCTCTGTGGTTAATTCCTGAGACCTTTGTGATCTTAAGAAAAATTAAATCTTGTTTTCATTTGAATGAGTCACAATTAGTAGATAATTTCATTTGTTCAGATAATTTTAGTAACATGAATTTTTATTATTAAAGTTGATCCACTTGAGGAAAACAGGTAGATTTCTCTAGTGATTAGGAAGATATAAAATTTTATATAACTTACTAGAGGTGATAAGTGGAATTTTGTTAAGAGTTGTGCAGTTTCAGGGCCAGGTAGAGTGGTGGTTAAGGTGGACTCCCACATGGTCAACTGTGGTTCGAGTTCTAGACCTGGTGGTTTGCTTTCTTACTTTCTCTCGCTTCCTCTCCCTCTTCTTCTCTTTCTCTCTCTGGTGAGTGCACATGCCCTGTAGCAAATATGAAATAAATACATTTTAAAAATTAAATAATTCTTAAAAATAAAAGCTGTGCAAGTTCATTAATTATAGAAATTCAGTTTCTTCCAGACTTTACCTAAAAAGGTAAAACAGTTGATAGGCAAGGAATAGCAAAGTCAAGTAAAGCACTGGGGTCAGAGTGGAATTAATTTTTAGAGTAATCTGTGTATACTGCATTTATTACAGCTCATATAATCGTGTACTTATAGTTAGTGAATGGAGAGAGAGTAGGCTGGTTCAGGACCCCGACTTGTCTTGATCAGTGTGATGCCATTACACTTAGGAATCATCTCTAACTTTTTTTTTTTTTTTTTTTGCCTATTTTATGCTCATCTCATCATCTCTTATTTTGCTTTAACTTCCTATTAGCTTGTCTTTAGCCATGTAAGTGAACTTGTTATGTGAACAGTTTACTTATTTACTTTCCCCCAGTATTATTTTAAAAAAATGAAACATTTCAAATTTAATCATAGTTATAATTATGGCAGCAGGTGGTGTGGTGGTTGGGGTGCTGGATTCCCATGTGACCAACTGCAGTTCAAGTCCTGGACCTGGTGGCTTGCTTTCTCACTTTCTTCCTCTCTGTTTATCTCTCACTGGTGAGCACATATGCTCTGTAGTGAATTAAATGAATAATGATAATAATTAATAAACATGAAGAAACGATTATTTTAAGAAAAAAAGAATAATGATGCACCAGCAGGTGGTATGGTGGTTAAGGTGCTGGACTCCCACATGGCCCACTGTGATTTGAATCCTGGACCTGGTGACTTGCTTTCTCATTGTCTCTTTCTTTCTCTGGTCAAATTAAAAAATGATAATAATGAAAAAAATGTTAAATTCTAAAAAAAAATAAGAGACTGATTAAAAATAAGAATCATGCACACTAGAATAGTGAACACTAGATTATCATTTTGTTTGCTAAACTATTTTTTAGTTGTTGGTGTCTTAGATGTCACCCTTGCTTTGACATTTACGATGTGTCTCCTAACAACAAAGGCTTTCTCCTACATAGTACGGTAAAATGATCACACCTGGAAACTACAACATTAATTAAGTACTGTTATTAATATGTATTCCAGTACCTGCATTTTTTTATGGGGTGACTCCATCTTGTTAAACCCACCTTGCTAAGAATCGGCGCCATTTCAAGGAGGCGAGCTGATCACGTAGGAGGTCATAAAACCATCACCCTACTGGGGCTGGCCAATGATAAAAAACAAAGGAGATACCAGAGATCTGAAGTAACTTTCTTGCCAATCAGTAAAAGACAACTACGCTTCTTGAAGTCTACAGCCAATGTATAGTGGCCTGAGTGCATTCCTCAGCACCCCTTGACCTCCCCGCCAACAACCAGATACAAACCCAGCCCAACTAACACACGGGGCTCTCAACTCTGACCCCCTGTACCGGTGAGATTGGGAGTCCTGACTCGAGCCTGAATAAAAGCAACCCTCGTGTGCTTACGTTGGAATTGGCTCCTTGGTGGTCTTTTGGGAATTCGCGACTGGGGTACAACACAGTCTTCTCCTGGGATTTTGGGCATGCATGCACATGCCCGGCATGAGTTTTAAGCCACTGGATCTGGGACTCGAACTGTAATCAACTATGTGGGAGTCCATCAAATGTAATCTTTTCACCATCTGCTGGTCTCTGTACTCAGATTTTTGCCAGTTGTTACAATCATGTCTTTTATAGCTTTTTGTTTTAATTTTGCCAGAGGACACATGTGCTTACTGGGCATAGAGAGAAAGTGATAAGTCACCCCTGATGGTGAATTGTCACACCACAATCCCTTCTCCTCCATCTCTCCCCCCTTTTTAGGGTGTGTTTCCCAAACCACTAGATTTAGGACTAGAACTGCACTATTGGTTATATAGGATCCAGCTGTCGTAACCACCAAGTCACAGGCTGGCCCCCTGTAGTCACTTTACATTTGACTTGTTGGGAAATTATTCACAGTGGTTTACTGTTCTGAACTACAACTAGTAAAATCTACTAGACTGTAGCTCACTGATTCATCATGACTCTCTTGTTTATATTTGTATAACGTAGGAAATAAAGAAAGCTTTTTAATGTATTTTTTCCTTCTTTAGGTGTTTACTACAATCAGGAGGCAAGATCTTTCCTCAATATGTGCTGATGTTTGGGTTGCTTGTGGAATCAAAGACTCTGGTAGAAGAGAGTGCTGTTCAAGGAACAGAGCGTACTCTTGGATTAAATATAGCACCTTTTATTAACCAGTTTCAGGTAGGTGTCTAGGAGTGAAGTTCTACAAGGATGCTGTTATCCATAGCCTTATCTTTGTCTCTCTCTAGTTTTAAAATTCACTACATTTAGTTGGAATAAAATGGCAACCAGTTTCCTAAAACAAAGAAATTTATTGTGGGTAAAAATCAACCTAAATAACCAAGGAATTTTGTCATGACCAACAAATTTTATAGCTATTCTTCTGTCACTGTTACAAATGAAAAGTAGGGTACTAGGTTTTAGTCTTAGGAATAAGGGTGCTCCTTGTCTAAAAAAGAAGTGCCTTGGAAGATCTGTGTTTTTTTTTTTTTTTTTTTTTTTTTTTTTATTTTGGAGAGGTTTTTGCTATAGGGCGCGTTGTACTCACCAGAAAGACAGAGAGAGATAGAGAGACAGAAAGTGACAATTAACTCCCCGGGGTGGCGGGGGGATGGCCACGCCGCAATCCGTTCTTCATTCTCCTCTCAGGATCTTGGGCACACACGCACATGCACCTAGCGTGAGTTTAAGCCACTGGGTCTGGGACTTGCACCGCATTCGACTACATGGGAGTCCAGCAACATAGCCATTATGCTAACTGCTGGTCCCGGATGATCTGTGTTCTAAACTTGAACCCTGTATTGAGACCTCAGGCTAGCATCCAATGGATGCTAACGCCGAGTCTAACTCTAGGCAGTCAGGCTGCAGGGACCAGGAATATAGGAGCCGAGGAAAATGGAGCTCAAGGCAGAGGGGTTAGTTTCCATTTAGGGAAGGAGATGCTAGGACTTAGAAATGAGGGCGAAACTGGCATAGGCCCCAACAGCAAAATACAAAATTGTGAGTTAAAATCGTGTGAGTGGATAGAATGTCTTGGGAAGAGGCTTGAAGTTGGAGCTAGATGTGGGATGTGGGTGGAATATTGTCATGTAAGCCTGAGTAGGATCTGAAGTGAGATGCTGGGTGTAGAAGTAGGGAAGTGATATCTCAGACTGATCCCAAGGCTATAGACTCTAAGCTCTTCAACAGGTATTGTTAGGTCTTCCAAAAGCAGTACCTGCTTAACAAATGGAAATTAGTTGAACTGCTTTTTTCAGGGCTGGCTGAGGCTTAGAATTTGTTTTTTGGAGGATTTAGTAAAGAGAATACACTTATCAGAAGATAGAGACATTTAAATAGTTTTTCTGTATGGTCTCAAAATACCTACATTACCTATCTGTCTACATTATTCCCTTGTGAGCAGGACACAAACAATTCTTTGGTTTTACCAGAATCTTTAATACATTGAACCTACCATCTTTTTACTGTATTTCCCATTTTATATCCTCTCTTCCTTAACAGTTTATATCCTGTAGTCTGTAAATTTTTTCATGTGATTTAAATTTCTCTTCAAACCCACCGTGTGTAAAATCCAGCTCTCTGCGTTCTCTGTGCCAGTACTCAGGCGGCCAGCCTCTAGAACAGTGGTCTCAGTTCAGCTGGTGACCACTCAGTTTAAGAGGCCCATCGTCTTTCCTGGCAGTTTGACGTTGTGTAGGTCATTTACTCATTTTCTTAGATGATCCCTTCTCCTATAATAGGATTATTATCTATCACACAGACAACTGAGTGAACTGAGGAAGCAGAATGCAAAGTTGTGGAAAAAAGTATAGAAAAACGACAGAACTGATTTATTCATTCAACAAATGTTGACTGAATGTCTAAGCACTATTTTAGATTGGGGAATGTGGCTGTGAAACTAAAGAGATTTCGAAACTAAAGAGCTATGTAGAGTTAGCGTTCAGCTAGGAAGCACAGACCGTGAACAAGTAAAAAGACTAGTGTGATAGCGATGGATGGTGAGAAGTGCTGTGGCCATAGTGCACGCTAAGGGAGATAACGAGTTGAGGGTCTGAGATACACTCTTTTCTCTAGGTTACACTGAAGGAAAGGACTCATGGCAGGTCATAGTTAAAGAGTGACTTGAAGAGAACCAGCAGTTAGCGTAATGGCTATGTCGCTGGACTCCCACATAGTTGACCGCGGTTCGCATCCCGGACCTGGTGGCTTAAAACTCACGCCGGGCGCGTGTGCGTGCGTGCCCAAGATCCCGAGAGGAGAATGGAGGAGAAGGGATTGTGGTGTGACCATCCCCCCTGGGGGGTGATTTCTTGCTTTCTGTCTCTATGTCTCTCTTTGTCTGGCAAGTGCACACGCCCTATAGCGAGAAAAAACAAACAAACAAACAAACAAAAAAACAAACAAAAAACCTCTCCAAAAAAAAAGAGTGACTTGAGCTAGCAGATCGCATAGCAGTTATGTCGTTGGACTCCCACCTGGCTGACCGAAATTTGGGTCCTGGACCTGGTGGCTTCAAAATCACCCTGGGCATACGTGTGTGTGTGTGTGTGTGTGTGTGTGTGTGTGCACACGTGCATGCGCACGCGTGCACCCAAAATTCCAGGGGGAGAATGGAGGAGAAGGGATTGCAGTGTGGCCATTCCCCTGGGGTATGATTTCTCACTTTCCCTTTCACTGTGTCTGTCTCTCTTACTCCCTAGCAAGTGCACACACCTTAAGGTAAAAAAAACTCTTTAAAACAAAACAAAACAAAACAAAAAACAGTGACTTGAAATAAGGAAGCAAATCAGATTCAGGTAAAGGATCAATGACTGTAAAGGTCCTGAGGAGAGAACATGATTGGAGTATTTAGAAACAGGAAGGAGGAGCCATAAGAGAGTGATGAGAGCTGCAGTCAGAGAAATATTAGGGACCAGATCTAGTAGAACCTTCTGGCCACTCTAAGGACTTTGGCATTTACACTGAACAGGTGGGAAGCAATTAGAGGGCATTGAACAGAGTGGTGTGACGAGATGTGACTCACGTTCGAAAAGGGTCACTCATTGGGAAAAGGCATGTGACCATGGTGGTCATTCAGGAGAGTGGCAGTGTAGTGCTTAGATTGGAGCGGTAGCCCTGGAGGCAGTGAACAGTGGTCAGATTCCGGATTTATTTCAAATGTAGGTTTTTTGATGGATATGGGGTATGAGAAAGGCCTACTTTTTGGGGTCAAACCACCTAGAATAACAGTGAACCATTTACTGCTATGGAGGAAATAGCAGAGGCTTAGGTTTGTGTTGTGTGTATGTGTGTGTGTGTGTGCGTGCGCGTGTGTAGGGCATCACTGAGGAGTTGGATTAGAGTTCAGAGGAAGCTCTAGGCTGAAGATAGAAATTTGGCAGTCAGCACCACATATATGGAATTTAAGGCTATAAGCCTAGATGGAGTTGTCTTGGTTGTGTGTAGAAAGAGGGCTGAGAACTGAACTCTAGAGAACTCGTGAAGTGAGCTCTAAGTTGGTTCTCTAGAAAGAGTCAGCAGAGATGACAAAAGTGGCCAGTAGGCCAGATCGAGAAACAAAAGTGGGGACAGACCAAGGTATCGGAACAGCTGTATGGAGTTCTGTAGTGACATGAGAATCTACGGCTTCTGGTGACTGATGGAACAGGAGTAAAGGGCATAGCACGTCCTGGAAATGATTTGGGGTCACTGTGAGTTTTTATGGGGAAGAAAGGTCAGATGCTGTCTAGGATGCCCAGGGAGAGGCTGATATATTTGTGTCCTCTATTTTATCAGGAAGGTCTAATTCTGATATTTTGTAGAAAGAAAAGTGGTTTTTAAATAACAGTTTTCTATTTCAGGGACCAGCAGTTAGTGTAATGGCTATGTTGCTGAACTCCCATGTAGTCGACTATGGTTCAAGTCCTGGACCTGGTGGCTTAAACTCACGCCGGGCACGTGTGCGTGTGGGCCCAAGATCCTGAGAGGAGAATGGAAGAGAAGGGATTGCGACGTGGCCATCCCCCCGCGGGGGGTGATTTCTCGCTTTCTGTCTCTCTCTCTCTCTGGCAAGTGCACGCGCTCTGTAGGAAAAACCTCTCCAAAATAACTAACTAACTAACTAACTAACTAACTGTTTTCTATTTCAAATGAGGGTGATAGTTAAAATCATTGCAGGGTTCCAAGCTACTAAAATTGAGTATGTGTGCACTGTGGCAAATTAACAAATAATGAAACAAAAACTCCCCAGATTTTAATTTTCAATTTTATGAAAACCACCTTCTAGAAATACATTTATTTTCCAAATGAAATCCACTACCATAGGTTGAATTTGGTATCTTTTCTCAAACAATAATTAATGTTACACTATTTGCTTATTAGCTCATAAGCAAATCCTTGATTTAAAATTTTTCGAGTTGTTTAAGTAAAAAATTATTTGTACTTTAACCCAAGTGAAAGATCTACAGGTAGTGAAACCACATCAGGTGATGCAACCTGCCCAAATCCTGGTTTGTTCACTCTTTTCTGTAAAACTGAAATAATGCACCCTTATACCTTAAGACTGCAGTGGGAAATTAAATAAGAGGCTAGATGTAAAAAGCATTCTATCATACACTTGATAAGCCCTGACCAGAAAGGAATGAATAAAAGTGAAAAACTTACACTCTCTCTAGGTACCTATACGTGTATTTCTGGACCTGTCTTCATTGTCTTGTGTACCTTTAAGCAAGCCGGTGGAACTCTTAAGACTAGATTTAATGACTCCGTATTTGAACACTTCCACCAGAGAAGTAAAGGTAAGTACAATGTGCAAAATGGTCACTCTTTCTATATTCAGAAAATTTATCTTAAACTAGTAAGTTTTAGCCACTTTCTTTGAAAATTATTATTGTTATTATTATTTTTTGTCATAGGGCATGTGTGTTTGCTGGAGAGACAGAGACAGACAGAAGTAAAGTAAGAAATCACCCCCCTAGGGTGGATGGCCATTCCTCATTCCCTTCTCCTCCACTGTCCTGTTGAGATTTTGGGCATACATGCACATGCACCTGCTGTGATTTTTAAGCTGCCAGGTCCAGGACTCGAACCATGATTGATGATGTGCAAGTCTAGCACTTTAACTGCCACACTACCTGCTGGCTTGACACTTAAAATCTTTTTGAACAATATACAAAAATGGATTTGAGTAAATATTAGTGAATAAGATAGGGTAATATTAAGTAGGATCAGGTAATTAAATGCATTTTAGATGAACTTTCGTATTGAAAGTTCACAAAAAGACGACGACGACTTATCCAAGTCTGTTTACTCTGATGAAATTTTGTAATTTTAAAATTTTTGTAGGTACCCATTTGTAAATCTGGACAAGTGACTGCTATTCCATTTTGGTATCATATGTACCTTGATGAAGAGATTATGTTGGATACTTCAAGCGAAGCCTCCCACTGGAAGCAAGCTGCAGTGGTTTTAGACAATCCCATCCATGTGGATGTGGGAGAGGAGCTCATACTCAGCGTTCAACACCACAAAAGCAATGTCAGCATCACAGTGAAGCAGTGAGGGTGTTTCTAATAGAAACTATCTAAGTAGAGCACCCAGCGCGGACTCCTTGACTAAACTGGTGGGGTCGTCATCATAAAACTGGTGTATAACGATTTAATTCCTTGTAATAGTCAAATATTTAAAAAAAAAATTGCCAGTAGGCATGTATGTTCAGAAGAGAGAGGCTGAGGCAGGGGAGGGGGGAGAGGGAGTGAGAAAGCACTTCCCGTTAGGAACAGCCATTCTGCAACCCTTCCTCCGCCATTTCTCCCTCCTTTTCAGAAGCTTGTGCACACACGTATATACACCTGATGCTTCTCTACTGGGTCCGAGTCTCGATCCATTCTCTTGGCCATGTGAGATCTAGGACCTTTACCCAGCAGGCCATGAACTGGACCACATCTAGTTCAGTTTTTACAGGCTTTTGAAATAGGGAGGTTAATACAGAAAATCGTTATCAGACCTTGTTTATAGTACGTGCTGCTTATAAGTGATCCACAAAGAAAAGATGTCCTGGTCCAGGTTGCTTATTCTCTTTACCTCTATTGTACTACCCAGCTTTCCTTTCCTTTTCTTCTTTTTCAGTAGACTATAGATAATGAAAGGATATGTGAAACAATTTAACAGGCCAAAATCCTCACGTATTGGGTT